CCCCCCCCCCCCCCAAAGACATGTAAACACCTCTTTAATTCACGTAACAGCTTGAATTCTACTGCCAGAAGTAGGAGATTGCTAAAATTATCCTCTGGCAAGTTAATTCCAGTGACTCAAAGCAGGTTTTCAGGTGTATTTACCTAAATTTCAAAGCACAGCTCTTTAACCAAATTAACTGCTGTTTGTATTAATGGCTCAGAACATTTATACACCAGCAGTTAGTAGCAAGATTTAAATGGTGCTGCCTATCACTGATAACAAACTGCCTTGGTTTGTCAAATAGTATTGTGTTCTTTGGTCAAGGTGGGGTGTCATCTATCACTACACCTCCAATCAGATCTAGAAACAGAGGAAGGAAATATGAGAGAGCATTCCCAGGCTCTGAGGAATACTTGTGCACCATATGGTGACACCTTGTCCACTTTACACTGCAGGGAACAATACAATCCCTTGTTATTACCCTGTAGATACAACTCAACTCTGACCCCCAAGGGCTCAACCTGAGTACCATATAAGGGTAAAGAAGATGGCAACTGAAGGGTAAAAAACCCAAAACCAACAGCTAATCTCACACCTCACTGCAAAGACTGATCACTGTTGACAATTTTGGAATGTCACCAGATGAAAAGATGACAGTTTTAAAAGGAAAGTAGGCACATAAGCAGTGAAATATTAAACCAAGTATCATAGGCATGAATGCCATAAATGCTGCTGGATACAAAGCTGCTTTTTCAAATACATTAATCTGTTATTTGCATGATATTTAGATATGCCAGATCACCATTGATCTCTTATCAAGGTAAACTTGCTTGTCACACAGAAAGCAAGTCAAGCACTTCTGACCACATGCACATTTCAGATTTTGACCATAAAATTGACTTATACCTTCCAGTATATCAGAACCACCTGGCTTTAACTTAGAAAAGTCAGAAGCCAAAGTGACACTGATTAACCCCTCGAAAAAAAGTCAGCTGACTATTGCTCAAACTGAAACATCCATTTTGGTCTGACAACTTAAAAGTCAGCTGACTATTGCTCAAACTGCAACATCCATTTTGGTCTGACAACAAAATAAAACACCTTCCAAAAGCACTGCAAGTTGTACAATAGGCTTTAACACACAGAAAATGCAATTGGCAACATCTGAATGCATGAAGTAGTACATGGACATTAAATAGAACATATTTATTAAATATCTGAGTATTAGAAACAAAACTTGAGTCATATTTACCCTTATCCAAAAGAACCATATCCCCATATTTCGAATTCCTGCCATGGAAGTGAAGATAAAGTACATAACAATAGTTGTAATAAGAATATAATCAAGTGGAAAAACCTAAAACAAGAACACAAGCAGTTAAAAGGACAAGAAAACAAGCTCTTCTCCTACTTAAAGCTAAATAAGTAGTTTCTACTTATAGCATCTGAGGTAGTAAGAGTCTTTCTATTTAAAAAGATTTACACAGCTGGCTCCAAATATAGCTAACATAGCTTGCTGCTAATAGAGCCTAGACAATTAGTTTGGGAAAGAAACTGAGCATTTTTCTTTATTTAAAACTTGCCTTAATTTTGAAGTGTTGTATATTTTTAGGCCAAGAAGCACTTAATTCTTTTAAATGTACCCTCAGAATGGAAAAATCTACAGTGACAACAATAATTATAGGACTATATAAGCATTCTATTTCTGACTATTTCTGATCATATTCACATAAAAAATTGAGTTGCCTATTTATATTAATAACAGCCTGAGATAACACTGCTGCTCAACACTACTTTTTGCAGTAAACTGCAGGCTTAGGTGTTCAATAGTTTTAAAAACCATGGGCAAGCAACACATTGTGCCAAGCCATTATACCACAACCATGGAAATAACTCAACTAGGGGAGAACAAAGCACTGGTTTACATTAAGGCTTTTCTTTTTCTTAGATTACCCATGACTGAAACTCGTATTTTTATGTGACCTTGCTGCCTTCCAACTCTACTGAAGTTAACAGATGTTTGTTCCTATGTTGGGTTTGTTTCCAAGACTAATGCCTTACTATAACACACATAACTGCACAGAGTGCAATAGATCTTCCAATGTGCAATAAGTACATTGGAAAGTGATGAAGTGCATTTACTTCACTGAAAGGGGATAAACTACCCAGTACACCAAGTAGGATGTAAGCAGAGCATGAAAGTTGCTTTTATTCTGTGCATGACAGCTGTGAGTGATGCCATTCCCCATTGCTACTGTTTTCATCATATTCATGTTGGTTTCAAGCACTACCTTCCTGCACCAACTAGCTTCCATCCACCCAGGATTTTCATATCTGTAACTCATAACTAAAAGATTACCAAGGAAGTTGTCCTGCTTTTACATAACACACATCTAGACAATGTCTTAATGAATTCCTTGGGGATAAGTTTGCCATTTGGCAGTTTACCAGAAAATGGAGGAACACTCTTACATATGTATACTACCCATTTTTAACTTACTCTTTGAAGAACTGGTAACAGCATGTTCAAGGGATTGGTCAGATTAGTTCCCAAAATGATAAATCCTGAGTCGAAGCCAGCTGAGTGCAGAGCTTTATCCAAACTGCAGTAATTAGAAAAAATTGGGTAAGGGTTATGGCTCTCCCAGAGCTCTGTCTTCATTTTAATTGAAAAGGGCAGCTCAAAAAACGAAGGTGAATTAAGCCCAGAGACTGACAGCTTTCTAATATCTATATAGACACAATGAGCTTTACCACACTCATTGCACTTGTTCTGTGAAAGATATATTGATTCCTGCAGCTCCCTGGCATTTCAGCTCTTCCCTGGTTTGGATCACAGAGCTTACTTGCCCAGACTGAAAAATTGAAAATGCCAACATTTGAGACCTCTGGTTAGTGTCAATCTTCATTGAAATCTGCAGGGTTTGCAGTTGGTTATATTGCTTTCAATGCCACAAAACATGGCTTAAAACATGTCAATTACTGCAAGAATTTAAGCACCTGTTACCCAAGAAGTACCTCCATGCATAAAGTTTCATTCAAGCAATCAGAATAATTCTGTAGTCTGATTTAAATTTCCTTAACTAACAGATATGCTTAATCTCCCTGCTGAATCAGAACTGTTTGCAACAACATACTGTCATTCAAGCTGAACCACGTTCTTGTTCTATCTGTTTTAGCACATTTTTCTCAGTTTCAATATATACTATTATAATGAGAAGAGCAGCTCTAGCTACAGAAGTGTAACAGAGAAAAAGAAGTGGGCTGACTCTTGAAGCAAACCACCCTGATTCTGATGTTAGAGCAGAGACTGGGTAGTTTAAGCAGTTAAGGAAAACACTGAAATGTACTTACTTTGACAAGAACAGAGAGACAGTGAAGAGCAGTGCCACAATGATGAAAAACACACCCCACACAATCTAGAAGTAAAAAAAATTTAATACAATTTAACTTAAAGTGTTTGTAGTTGATGCAACAAGTGAAGACTTGTCTCTGTTTCAATAAAGGATTAATAATCTTGGACTGCCTCCATGCTTAAAACACACTTGAAACAGTAACTTTCTGGTAAATACTTCAGAGAAGTGCTAACAAAAATTTTACTCTGCTAAACACAGTTTATATCAAGTACATCACATGCTCCATTGCAATACTCTACCCCTAAGTCAAAAGTGTCATTAAGAAAACAGATGACAACATTAAATGAACACAGCATTTAGCAGAATGCACAACCTGTACTCACTATATTGTATGGAAAACTAACTATATACTTATATTTGGGTTTAATTAAGGAAATCAGAGATTGGTTCCCTGACCATCACATCTGTGTGGTCACCTATCAAGAGGAAGCAACCAGTGCACAGCTTACAAGGAACATTTCACCTTTCCCAAGTAAAAGCTCCCTCCTGTAGTGCTATTCCAAAACACACAGAGACCAAATCACTTGAAGGGAGTGATGAAAAACTCAAGTAACCAAGGACAAATCCCAGATCTTCCTTAAAACACAGGAAAGCTTTTATTACACCTACCAAATTCAGCCCTTGAGCCAGGGACTGGCTCTCCAAGCTGGCCTCAACCACAGCACCTCCTACTGTTGTTTCTGGGCTACAGGCTAGTTCAAGAAGCCATTCCCCACTTCCTTGACAGGTTTTCTTCCTCACAATCTTTCCTCTGGGCAGGTTAGGGAATGGCACACGGAAGTGAGCCCATATAGAAAATCCATTCAGTTACAGTTCCAGCAGCTACACTGTATTTTCCTATAAACCCTAGTCATGGAATATGATCAGATAAGCATGCTGAACTTCCCAAAGCAATAATGTTTTCACATTGCTAGACCTGAGATGTAGACAGACTTATTTCCAAATACTATATTCAGGAACACAATGCATGGTCTCCCACATGAATGAGGGAGTTTCACAGTTTAAAATATTTATTTGCCTTAAAACTTGGCAGTCACCATTATATGGTTAGGAACTTGATTACAGGTGCTCGTTAAAGACACTCAAAAGTTACAATGCTATTATTGCTCATTAAATTCAGAAGATAAACTTCCATCTGTGAAATCAAACAGTACTAGAACGCTGCTTATTAAACAACTCAGATTATGTAGGCCTCATCAGGTCTAGATAAACCTACTGAGATCAGGTCTCAAGTTGCATTACTTAATTACCTTCTGTCAGCTACAGCCCCTAAAAGCATCTACATCTCCTCTGGAATATGCCTGTCTTCTGAAGTGACAGATAACACTTAGAAATAAATGGTTGAAGAAACACTCCTTTCTCCATTTTAGCCTCTACTCCAATCCATTAAATACAAGATAGAAAAGGCTAATACTAAAATAAAAAAGTAAATAAAAATGTTCATTCTACCTTAGTTCATCCTGTATGGCCACATTACTACTAAGAGTATGAAGCCATCAATTATTTACCATTAACATCAACCTATGCTTACATAATTCCAAAGCATCAGTTGACCTAGGCCCTTCACAAAAGGGATCCTTGTGTTACCAGATGGAAGTGTGAGAAACAGTAAGAAAACAGGAAGTGACACTTCATAGAAAGAAATTAGACTACTTCATCATCACGTGATAACCCCATGTTGACCAACACTCACTTGCTTGGGATCTTCCAGATAAGTTGCTTTGCATTAAATTGAAAAACTAACAGCTTCATCTTTGAGTAAAAAAATTGCTCTCAAAATTTAATTGACCCCATGTCAAAGAAAGTTTACTCTTCAAAGAAAAAGGTTTGCCTTTGTTGAACAACAAATCACATGCTAATAGATACTTACCAATAATAAAACCATTAGAGCAAGAACATTAGAGGACACTATGCAAAAACAATATGGTTACTGAAGTCTGAATGTAGACACTACGTTAACACTGTAAGAGACCTTTGAGATTAAAAGCAAGTCCTGAATATGTTATTCTGTTCTGTCAGGCCCAGTAAGAGTCTGCAACTCCCATAAACCAAACCATCCAAAACAAGTCAGAAATAGGGTCCTCTATCTAATACCTGCTTCAAAAGAAAAGGAATTTCTCTTCAAGTCTGAGCAGCAGCCACATTTTTGAACAGTAGCATACAAGTGGCACTGAAAGTGTTGTAAAACAATAAGCAAAGCTCCAAGATACTTCTGCTCAATGTAGAAGTGCAGTATTATATATGGACATTGAAGAGATTTTCATCTTTTCATTAAACAATGACTGACAAGTTATATATTTGCAAAGACAACCCAAACACACTCACAGCAACAGTAAAGCAGTGCTGCAAGAGTTAAGATGTAATTAAGTGACAGACATTATCACTTTCACAGGACAGTGCAAGTCAAAGCAAACAAGTTCTCTAACATGCTTCATAGCACAACCTTAGTCTAAGTGAGACTGTCAGGAAAAGTTAAGCACCAGCAAATCTTCTTCAGTCTGTGATTCATGAGTCAACTATTCACAGTGACTGCTATATTTACTGAGAGAATCAAAAGTATTTAAACCACAATAACAAGGAGACACTGGAATACCATCCTACCTGTAGGTGATAAGCTGTAACTAACTAATGATATTGTACACTATCCTACAAGAACACGATCAACTGTTAAAGTCCTACAGACAATAGATATGGCCAATACACTTCTCAAATTTAAGCTTAATTTGAAGAGTTGCAGAAACTACACAAGTGATTTTGAATGAAAAAGAAGCATCCAAACTGTTCAAGTGAATAGTTAGGGATATTTGTCTTTTAAGTGAAAGGGCTAAGTCTACATTTCTAATTTGTCACAGAAAGATAGCTCCACTAAGAATTTCACACTGAAAGCTTTTGTTCAACTACAATTTCAGCCCATTTCCAATGGTACTCAGCATTAACAGTAGCAATGATATAAGAAATTGCTTATAGTCAGACCTCCTCCCCCTAGTTTCCCCAAATGCAGCCTACATTTGAAAGTAATGCTAAAACTTCTTCCTACATCTAGCTGGCAAGAAATACTTATACAGCAATACTGTTCATAAAAGTACTAGTTTTTAAAATCAGGTATATACTAAAAATCAAAGTCCTAAAATCAAAGAGAGACCAAGATAAAAGCTTTGCCCCAGTGACCATCTCCTTTGCATTGGCTAAGTATCACAACCTTAAGTTATATGCTGACTATTGATCAAGTAACTCTTTGGCAAGATGCATGTTCCAAATACATATATTCTCAAAGTATCTCTCACTTCTGCTGGCTACATGTAATTTAGATTAATCTAAACTAACTGACAGCTATAAAATTCTTCCCATTTTCACATGCTTGATAAAAAAACCCCAAGATACTCAGATTTTCTATGGCAGTGGCACTACAGTTGACCAGCTAGGACCTGCTCATTTTCAATATCAATCATAGTTGAGGCAAAGTAAAAGGTTTTCCAAGAGCTCCAACAGAGCTTGCTATAGGGCTGCCACTGTGTAGTGTAATAGCAATTTTTTTTAAAAAAGCTGATAATTGGGGAGGCAATTGATAAACTTGAGCTATGATTTATATGAGAAGAAGAGAGCTGAAAGTTATTCCAAGTCTCAAAAAGTGAGGAAAAGTTTTACCTTTAGAGGTCGGATAGCTTCACAGAACTTTGTCCACCAGCTTTTCTCTATAGACTCCAGATGTCTCTCTCTCCTTCGCAGTGTCCTTAGTCTGTCTTCTAGTTGCTGCAAAGTCCTTCTGTCCCTTGATGACAGAGGACGACCATCTCTGCACTGGTTACCAAAAAACAGAGGAAAAGATCGAGAGGCATGGAATCAAGAAAACAGACTTGACAGTGAGTTTAATTATTTACAACATCTCTAAACAATGTGTAGTATGTAATTCATGCATATATAATTTCTATGCATCTCAAGAGGATGAAGCGCAAAAGTCACAAGTTACGACAAGGGGAATTCCCATCAGGGGTCAGAAATCACTTTTGACAATGAAGATGTTCAAAAATTCTAACAGGGTAGACAGTCACCATGGCTAGAAATACTTTAAATGCACAGACATGATCTGAATAATGAGATCTAACCTGAAAGAGGTCCTTGTTTTGTGTGGAGGGCTGAACATGGTGACTTGCAGAGGTTTCTTCCCAACAAATTCTATGATTAAGCCTATATATCAAGCTTGGCATCTTTATTTTCTTCCCAGCATTCTACTAGATACTCAGCTATGTTTCTTGCACTTGCAAAGAGTAAGAAACATAGCTCAAACAAGAGGCAGCATTACCCCAAGAATTAGTTGAGTGTACCAGGTAATTTATCTGATTATTGTGTTTCAGAACATACTTTAATTCTGAGCCTTTAAACACTGAGCAGCAACCATTGCACTATGTCATAAATTGAGTAACACATCCTTAGATCTCACTTATATGCTAATAAGAAAAAGCAACAAAATAGGCACTACACAGCTGAACCAAAATTGTTTGTAATTGATGCTGGTGTATTACAAACTGGCACTTAAAAAAGAAGGATTCTTATATGGTAGGAAGTGTATTAAACTGTATCTCAAAATGAATAAGGAATTTAAAATTTTCTCCTCTTTTCACAGAGCCTCCCTGCAAATAGTGCAACACTTCACACACAGCGGAGTTAAAAAAATATTTTAAATTAATTTCTCAAAGATTAGAAGACCAAGACCACATTCCAGGCACGTGCAACACTTAAAAGTACATTGTGATCTCAAATTTAACAGGAACATGTATTCACCATACCCTGTATAGCACCTCAGTGACTTTAAAAAAGACTTTTTGACAATAGTCCCAAGTTCAAGCTTCAATTATTTAAGACTAATGAGATAAAGCTATCAGGTATACTAATAGCAGAGGCCCATACTACGTAGTGAATCTTTTCATTAGATCAAGTAACATACTTTCACACTTTCAGTTCTCACTGCATACTACTCCCAGTAACACTCACTTTCTTCACAACTTAATTCAAATGTAACTGAAGAACTAAAATTTCAATTAGAGGATGAGGTTGAATCCTGACCATAATCTACAAACTGAGTAAAATTAGTTTATATTAAAGGTCCCATTAAAATATATACATAATTTAAGTATTTCTACTTTTTGATCCTATTTGTTAGCTTGATTGAATAACAAGCCCAGCTGCATGCAAATTCTCATAATCTAACATGGTCTCCTGCAATAAGTACAGCTCCATTAGTCACAGCTTTTTTTCCCTCATACTGATGTCAGTAATGGATACCTTTGTTGTTGTAGTAGTACTCGGTACAAACCCAGAACTTTGCAATTTCAACTGGGGGAGAATACTTTTTAGATTTCATTATTCAACAAGATGTCTAGAACACTGAAGGTGCCCACGCTGTGTAGAGAGGTAAGCCAAGTATCTAAGGAAGACTGTTGGAACTGTTTCAACATTGCTGAGGTCTGTTATCACAGAGCACACACAGCACAGATGGACTGCCAGGATGGAAGTGAGGCATCTTAATGTCAAGGCTATGAAAACAGTGGTCAAACCATTATCTGAAATGGGTTGAAAAACAGGTGGGAGATTTTCCCTACTCTCCCCTGTAAAGGGGGAATCTTACCCTCCTTTAGCTTGCACTCAGAGGTTGTTAGAAGTGTCTAGCTTACATTAGGCACAGCAATTCCACTAGCTGCAAAGCCATCATGGGTTTACAAATGGTGTTAACATCCTAGGGATGTTTAGGATTCAGAACAGATTTCCATATGTATACTTTTCACAAATTATTTATAACAGCAAGGTACATGAACTGGGAAGGAAGAGTATCTGGGGTTGTTATTTATTCACAGAGATGATTAATAGTCTGATGGATCTAACCCACGACAGTTCTATGTGGCAAGTATCCAGAGTTAACTGCACTACACTGAGAAGTATCAACAAACTGGATGCCATTTCTGGTAGCAGAGTAAGCGAGGTTAATATCTAGACAGCATCTCTTCCATCCAAGCAGGACTGGAGAAGTCCGAGTTAAATTTGTTAACATTATTATTAGCTAGACAGAAATAGCTACTGCTGCAGGACTGATATAGAAAACCCAATCACTACACTAGTGACCACATTTGTTTCCCAATAACTCAAATACTGCAAGCTATTCACTTCTGACTTGCTATTCTTTCTGGAATAAAAACTCTCTACGGCATGACCATAAACTAGTAAGCAAGCAAAACAAATCCTTAAGAAAGTGAGAACAGTGAAGACCATACCTTCGATTTAATCCTTAATAAATGTTGTTCCACTTCTTCAATATCTTCAGTGTTTTCTAAACGTTCATAAGCCGCACTGGTAGTTCCCTTAATCAAGTTTAGGGGCAAAGCTGACATACCATAAGCCTAAAATAAAAAGGAAACACATACTCAGTTTTCCTGCCATGTATTTTCATCTGATAAGGCTGTTTTATGTTGCAGCTATAAGGTATCACTGCTAAGTGGTTTTTCACCCCTTCTGCGTACTCTTTGAGGCAATCAATTCTTTTCCTTTTTTGAGCAAAATCTAACAGACACACTATGCAAATTCCAGCATCCCACATTGCTCCAGTGGTATTTAAGTGCCTCATGATCACAATAGCATGTGTTAAGACTTCATATGAGCATAGTACATTAAAGACTTACCAGATTAGCCCTTGTTTTCTGTCAAATCACATAGCTTCCCAAAACCTTAACTTTCCCACTTTAGATGGAAATCAAAACTTTGTGCAATAGAGATCTCTAGATATTGAACTTTAACAGTTTTAGAAGCCAAGTATACACATTTTCTTTGCAGCCAGTAGTCTTCACCTCACTTTTAAAATAAAATTGGGTAGGAAGTACTTGATAAACAAAAATTCTGCCATAAAAAGACACAGCAGAAGCTAGGTGAACCCCTGAACTCAAGTTACATACCAAGACTATTTAGATACCCACTCACATTCATACATTTTGTTGGCATTTACTCCTCATTATAAATCCAAGATCATTCAAAATGTTTTGTCAACTTCTATGTCAATAGTACACACAGATTTTTTCCAACACAAGGTCTGCAAGTTTTCCACTAACATAAGAAGAAACAAATAGTGGAGACAAGGTAAACAAGAAAACATCACTATTTCCTCCCTGCTACCCTGTCATTCTCATAGATCAAGACCAAGGTCAGAAGTTTCTCTAACCAGTTTAGAGACAGTAGCCATAGGCCACTTGTTTACTGTGGACTATA